TGCAAGTAGTGGGTGCGGAAGAGGAGGTGGAGGATGGGTGCACAGTGGCTTTGGGGAAGATGGGAGGGAGAAGAGAGGGGTGGTTTTTTTTCTTTTTTTCTCTTCTTTTGGGTTGCGGGTTGGGCTCGGGTTGGGGGGATGGGAAGATGGGTGCGCGAAGGAGGATGTGGAGGATACCTGGGAGTGGTTTTGGATTTGGGTTGCAACGAGGGACAACGAATGGGGATGATGATGAAGGGGATAGGGTTTCGGCGGCGCCCCGGGGGGGGGCAAGGGGATTAATGGGTTTTGGTTTTGGGGGGGGGAAGGAATAATGGGCGGGGTGGGTCACAGGGATGTGTTGCAGCTTTTGATTTTTTTTTTTTTTTTTTTTTTTTTTTTTGAAGATTAAGGTTAAAAAATATTTTTAAAATATTTTTTTTGTGTTACATTTGGTAGCAACGTGGCAGTCACGTCAGCACTTAACGGATCAATGGATGAAAAATGTAATGAATGTATTATTTTGAAATAAAACAGTATTTAAGGTATGAAAGTGAAATGTTTTGAAGATGTTGTAAGGAATTAAAATAGACCACAAACCCCTAAGATATGAAAATGTAATTTACCCCAAAAAAAAAAAAACATTAACAAAAAGTCTAAATTTTCAAATGATTTCCTTCAAATTCTACGGTTTTCAGGTGGCTTTCTTGAATTGTGCACTGACTTGCCTCTTGCATTTTGTTTCACTCTAACCCTTTTAGAAACCTACAAACAATAGAGGAAAAAAAAAAAAAAAACCGAAAATTTAACAAATGGATTGGATAAAAGCACACACAAGAAAGGGACAATGACATAGGTCAAAACAACTTACATTGGATGTATTTCCTCCAGTGGCATGCTACAAAATGATCAATAAAAGAGTTACACATACATTTGCCTATGAATACAAGACTAAAAATTAAAATATCAAAGTTGTCAATGAGCACACCATTGCTTGTGTTTGCCCACTTTCAGTATTTGGTGAGTTATGGCCAATTTCATTTGTCAAACAAGTTTGTCCCCTCCCAGCTTCTTCATAGGCCTATGAAATTAAATTCCCCAATTTCATTTGTCAAACAAGTTTGGCAATGTGTAATAATACTTGGCAGTCTTAGTATACCCTAGCTTCTTTGCACAATCCTCTATCCCACCTGGACATTAGATCATGGTTCATATTGTCAAACCAAGCAACATGACCACCCACATAAGTCATTGTCCCATTACAGGCTCCTATAAAGTGACCACTATGGTGAATTTCCATTGTAAATAACTCAGATTTATCTGTACAAGATAAGTGGTCAAAGTTTAAGCAATGGGTAAAATGACAAATCAAATAAACATTCTCTACTTAGATACAAAGTAACCATCAATAAAAAAGCGCATGGACATGAAAATAGGTTTCGGTGCTTTAAATTTTGGGATGCAGAGTGCTCAAGTGTTACTTGCTGTGATAACCCGTCCCTAATTTTACAATTTTATTAATTTTAAAAGAGTGAATTGACGAAAATACCCCTAGTGGTGAGATTGTTGACTTTCGTTGACCTTCATTTCGTGACGTGTACGAGCTACTATTTTACCGTATTCTCAAAGTACTCGACAGTATGAACATGTAGTCCAAGCGGAATCAAATTCAGAACTACGATGAAGATTCTATGGAACTACAAATCCGAAAATACTTTTGTAAAATTACTCTTCTATATTTTATATATTTCTTTTAATTATTATATTAATATATTATTATTTTAATATTTTTTTTGTTGGGATATTTTAATTATTTTAACATTTTCTGACCCGTGGGGCCCACACCCACACCAAACTCTCCACTCATCTCTTGCCAAATGTCTCTTCTCCCACACACTCATCTCTCTCTCAGCACTTTCCCACTCAAACCCGCTTAGCCTTTCTCTACTTTTTCATCCCCTATCTATCCTCAGTGTGCACCAACACCATCGCACGCCGTTGAAGCTCCGACGAGCCTCACCACCCTCGCACCTCGCACTTCCCTTTTTCCTCCTGATCCTAAACTCTCGATGTTATTTCTCTCTCTGTGCTCGCTACACATGAATGCTGACGAGAATCCAATGAGTTCACGGCGTCTCCAACATTGGTAAGTTTTGAAAACCAACTAAATCTTCATGGATCGTGTTTTACTATACGTTTCTAGTGTCTTTTAAGGATTTTATGATGTTTGAACGTAGAACCACATCGGGGAAGTACTTCCCCTGTTTTCAGCAAGAAACCCGACAACTTTTGAGCCATTTTTCGACCAACTCCGGCCACGGCAGGACCTCGTACTAGTATATTTCTCTTCCTCTCTTAAGCTTCAATTTCATATATTGTATGCTAGTTTTAGTTGAGTTTTGAAGCTAAACGAAGTCAAGGAAGTTTCTCAGCCAAAATTCCCAGTTTCCGACTTTTTTCTTCATTTGGTCCAGACGACCTGCAAGCCCAACGGGTTAACCCGATCCAAGAAAAAATAGATAAATAAAACATCAGATCCACAACCCGAATCCGATTTCAAACCCGGGATCCAGCCCAGCCCAATTCCAATGCGGATCTAAAATATTCCTAGAATGTTCTCTGGAATATTCCTTGCTTCGACTTTTTTGAAATTTTCTCAGAAACTCTTTTAGGCTAATTTCGACATCTGGAGTCCATTTTTGACATCCATTTAGTGAAATTCCAAAGTTTAACATAGTTGGCAGCTTGGCGTCTCGGTTGACTTTTTAGGGTTGACCGTTGACTTTTTACGAAAATTACCTCGCTTAGGGTATTTCGATGCGCTGATTCTAAATCCGCCATCTGTTTCTCCAAATTCAAATGTTTTAATTAAGTTTTACTAATGGGTCTTTATTACGCTTAGGTACAATTAACATCGGCGATCCGTATTTACTCGTTGGAATGGCTGCGACCTCGCAAGCATATATGAGTGGGTCTCTTCTTTTATATAGTATATATATTTGTTAGTTTCCACATATATATTTATTAATCAATTTTATACGTGATTGCCATAATTAAATTAACAGTTATAAGGAAGTGTAATATTGTTGAAAAATTATGAACAATCCTATGGGATGCACAGGTAAAGGGCTTATGGGGGATACCTTAATTATATTTACGGCTAGGAATAGTATTATATTGATTAGAATTGTTGAATTATTGTGGCATGATCATATTTACATTATGTGCTCATCGTGTGCTACACTAGTGTTAGTACTCACCCGGGCTAGGGCCAATCTTCACGTGTATGTTCACATCGCACCGTACGCTCACTTTGGATCCATTGTATGTGCCAATCCTGTCCTAGATTGCTATAGGCAATTAGGACTCATATATGATGCGCATAGCACCAGTCTTCACATGATTGTAATGCTAGAGCGTAAATCATTATTACACTCAGTCCTATTCATGCTAGAATACCTCTGCATGAACTCATGTGTCAGCATATGTCGATGAGCACCCGTCTTGATATTCATTTATGTTAGTTATTGTGGTTGCCATACGCTATGGTTTATTTATAAATATTGTGAAGTTTTGCACTTTCAAGATGTTACTATTTACAGTAAGTATTATCATTCTATACGTAGTATGCTATGTTTTGTAAACTATACTTGTTTTACAACGAGGGGTTATTATGTTTTCAAAAAAGTTTTACAAAGATTTATTTTTAGGCTCACTCACCCTTGTTTTCCGCCTCTCCAGGTTTTAGTAGCTGAGCTTTCGTGTCAACGACGATTCTTGGCAAATCTTGGTATAGGCGACTACCTTCAATGGTATAATTCTCAATCTACTTCTACTGTACTTTACTTATGCTCTAACATCACGTGTGAATTGGGCTCAATCCCGCTCACATGGCACTCTTGCAATTAGGCACTTTTAGGTTTAAATTTACCCACATTTTCCACATCACTTCACTCTATGGTTTCGTCACCTTCCTGGTATCAAACAGTACAGCTCAATTCGGAATCCAAGTGGACATTCCGGGTCGGAATATGTTGGAGGTATGGGTGTGGTGGACGTTCGATACATAAAAAGTATTAAACAAAGCACATGAAGACATTAAAATGAAACAAGTAGTCGACATCAACACACAGACATTCAAGCTAAACAAAGAACCAAATTAAATAAAATTAAAAAAAACTATTCGAATCTCCTAGTAAAAGTCATTCCATCAAATAAGAAACCAAATAAACATACAAAACAGGACTACAAGTAGAAGAATCAAAATCTCTTATTGTCCCAGACAAAGCCATAATAAATAATTTCATCTAACTTTACCATAATTTATATGAAAATGAAAAATGTGTGCAAGTTCATAAGACATTTAAAAAATTTTCTCTTAAATATACTTTGAGATCAACACAATTGTCCAAATTCTCTAAATTCTCAGGTTTTAACCAAATAACTATTCATCTAGTTGTATTTTCTCTTTGAAGGAGGTTTCAAGTTAAATTCTCCTCTCCCAATTGAATTCTATTTCCTCTAGGGATTAGATAGGTTTACTTTCGTTACGAGTTTTGTATAGTTATATGTTACATAAATCATGTACATAAAAAAAGTCATTTACTTGTAGAAATATGTATCTGAAGAGATGAAAACAATCATCATCAACTACTATAAGTTTTGACCAACTTGTTATTCGCCTAGTGATATTCATTTTCAATAGTGTGGAAAGAGATCCTAAGTTTTTACCTTCAACTTTTGCACTTTTGTTAGTGCTATTGTGAAGGTAAATTACCCTTTACCCCCTCAAATTTGGGTAAAATGTTTTAAAGATGTTGTATGAGGTTGCAATTGCACCCAAACCTGATGGGTAAAATATAATTTACCCTATTGTGAATCATTCAGGACTTGGATAGATAGAAACTCCATGAAAGCTTATACAACATTATTTTTTCAATCAAACAAAAATACATAGTTGAGATTTATTAGTTTCATTTGTGCATTAGCATACACTTAAGCTCCTAGAGGTAGCTAGGGCATTATTTCTGAGCGATCTCTTGGAGGTGGAAGGCCAACTCCAGTGGTTTGGAAGACATGACCATATGATCAGAGCCATTTATCACTTTCACTTCATCTGGAGGATTTTTCGCGATCATCCACATCTGCTGATCCTCCTTTATTGTATTGTCTTGCCTGGACACGATAAATACTCTACGAACCGACCCATATTTCTCCTTTGTGAGCTTTATTTCCTCATTGATGATCGGAAAAAATCTCACCAAAGATATTGCTAGTGTTACATCCTGTGGATACACCCAACCAAATAAGAAATATAACAGATAAAAGAGTTCAAGTATTAGCTAATCAATTGAAAAATATAACCATGTGTGTACTTGAAATTGTGTATCACAATTATCTTTTATTCCTATTTTTTGGTATTTAAAAAAAAATCATGATAAGGGAACCGGAAAGCGGTAGGCATTGTTTAAAAATGAATGCATGGGATTATGGCTGGAATAATACTTGCGGGAAGGATGAGCTATTTCCCCATTTATGAATAACATATCTTGACCGTACAAATCTCATAATTAGAATCATTTGATTTTTTAATCTTAATCTTCATTTGAAGATCACCCGTCTAGATAATTATTTCGATCGGAGATCATTTAGTCATTCAAATGTATAAAATAAATTGATGGTGTAGGTATCAAGTAATATATTCATGATGAATCGTCTATTTATTTGTACGTTTGGATGATTAAATAATCTCCAATTCGAATGATTTTTTTATAAGATTGATCTTCAAATAAAGACTAATAGACACTACAAAAAAAATGAGCACTGCACACAAAAAATTATATGTGCCTTTTGAGGCCAAAAAGCACCAACATTTGTGCTCATAGACCAATAGCAACAGTGCAGCAACTAAGTTTGTATCTGTGCCCTCTATGGGCGTCACCATTACTTATAGCACACAATATGATGTTTTGTGCCCAAAGCTAAGCACAAATACAACCCTTATTGTGTCTTACCTCTAATAAAGGCTACTGAATGTATGGTGTAAGATGGGCACAATTGCTATTTTAAAGGCTTAGATTGCTGTATAAATGTTAAAGCAAGGGCACAACTTTAAAATTGTGCCACTATTATATTTTAATAAATACAATAAAACTCCAGCACAATTAAAAATTTGTGGCATAATTGGATATTTTTATTTAAACATGGAAATCATCAGGTTGCTCATAGAACCTAATTTCCACCTAAATTTAGAAACTTACAAATCATCCATTACAAACTAAACATAAATCAACATTAGCACTAAAATAGTGAAGTTAATATATTACATAACCCATGTTCTCGGCTAAGACCGATTCATGCAACCTAACAATACAACCCATCCAAATGTTAAACCAAAAAATACATGTTATCCTATGCTGGACATACCCAGGATTCTCTATATACAACAAAATATAACATATCCAAGCTTGTATCCCCAAGTCAAACGTACTAATGGTTAAACTAGCAATATATAAACAAAATACACATCTACAAGGGCTGCTTGATGACAACTAACCAGTATTCTCACTTTGGCAGTCCTCATGCATCATAGCACTAGAAATTGGAGGTCCACACTGCACATTCTTGTCATTTCCACCTTCGAAACGCGTTGAAATCTGAGCGTGTGAGCTTCCACACCCTTGCTGCTGATATATATATCTTAGAATGACATTCCACCCCCTCCTGCCAATATCCTTTTAGAATGACATTCCTACCCATTTGCAAAACAAATTACAAACAAATCATAAGAGTATCTTCATTCAGAAAACCTGACTTCTAAACATGTCAATGTCCAAAATTCTCCCATTTTCAACATGCATTTTTCAAGAAGAGACATACACTGGCACACATACAATGAAAATCATATGAAAAAAAGAGCCAAGAAATCACATAAAAGTATCAATCTTTGAAATTTTATTTTCCTTTCCCCCATCACAGCCAAAAAATAAAGGGTAAGTCTACAAATATCAATTTTCATGCCACAAATTTGTGATACATTACAATCTAAAATCACACACATACATCATGCATATACATACATCAGAGGAAAAAATTAGGATTAGAGTTTGATGGTTCTCACCCAAAATTGGTTGCTATCGAGCACACTCACACCAACGTCAATCAGACCATAGGCTGAAAATATCAACAACAAAAAAACTGAGCATTGTTATCCATCGTAACAAAATCAACTGTGGAGTATTAGACAGTGCAATTACAAAATCGGTATGTGTTCTCAACTACCTTCGTTGTCCTCAGGTCTAAAGACATGGTCAAACTTGAACAACTTTTTCGAGGAATCATAACAAATGACCTGCAGCTCGTTATCTAGGGAGGATTCGAATTCAAAAACGAAACCAGATCCGCTTGAAATTTCAGTTTGATTTAAAGGTATACATCTGCAGAAAACTCGGATGTTGCCCTTAAGCTCAATCACTTCATTGTAAAGTCAAAAAAGGAGAAGAAAAGCGTGAGAGAGAGAGAAAGCAGACCAGCGGACTGAGGAGGGAGGGATAGAGAGGGGGGCTAAACCACATTTAAATACCTGATTCTCTTTACTTAGGAATATGGCATTTTCCATGATCTTCAAACATTTCAAAAGCAGAACCAGGCTCCGCACCATGCCGTTTTCATTTTCCCAAATAGAATGTGAGCTATCTTTTAGCCAACCCTGCATATTAATTTATGGTGCTTAGTAAGCCAATTTCCCCAATAACAATTGAGTACCATATAGACCCCAGGATTCAAATGAAAAAGGTAAGTATATAAATGAAAAAGTTATATTATGTCTAAGAAATTTTGGTTATCATCACTCAATGCGTGTGATATGCACATAATAAGTAAAGAAAACAAATCAATGTGATATTGTTAGCATGCAAAACCACTCATGTTACTCCAAGAAGAAAATCAGGAACTACAACGAACAATAAGGAAGATGACGCTATCCAAAGGCAAATAGATAACTGCCCATTTGTTACCATAAAACAACCAAAGTGTAGTCAGTGTTGCTCATAAACTGAAGAAATATATAGGTTACAGAACAGAAGAACCTTGTGAATCTAGATACAACTAAGGCTGCACACCATCATTTTGGTTCTTTACCATCACATGCATTATTTTTTCACAGAAATTTATTATTTACAGAGTGAACCAAGAAATTATTGTTGAAGTAGCATAGTGAAGTAAATATCTTTCATAACTATTTAAAGCATTACGGTCCCTTGGTATTCTTTTAACATTTAATGAAACACAAAGTGAGATCAAACAAACATACAGGTTCACACCTCCATATTGGAATGGCAATCCATGGTCACCTCAAATACAGCATCAAGACCTCCAAGCTCCCGTAATTTTTCCTTAAAGTTGCCCCCCCCCCCCCCCCCCCCGACTTCCTTTACTGCACCAGTGGTTTCTGAAAGTACAGGCCAAAAGCTTGACATCCTGACTAAATAATGCATAAAAATATGTATCATGACCAGAAAATCATAAGCTTCAACACAGACTCAGACCTTCAAGAGAGATAGTAGATAAGCAAGCTTTCTCCGTAGTCAGCAAAGCTATCCATTTTGGGCATAACTCCGGATTCTCCATTTCTCCTTTATCTGCACAACTCAGTTCAGTAGCAACAATTCCTAAATTTATTACAAAAAGAATTGCAGAAATTACCCACCTTTGTCGCTCACATCACTGTCCACCTTGCTTGCAATCGTCTCTAGGGTTTTAACCGAAGAAAAAGAGGGATCAAATCAAATCAGAAAATCTCCAAATTCTACATTTTCTTGGACTGGAAAATAAAATTAAAACTATAAGAAGCAGTAATCTTCGAATCCGAACCTCAAATTCAAACTTTTCTTGTAATTCAAAAATTAAAAAAAAAGGGAAATGAAATTGTTTACCTTGAGCATAGAGGGCTTCCTACAACCAATTGTCAAGACTTGTGTTTGATCTACATACATGTCAAGAATAAAGTTTAAAACTTTATCACAGAAATACATAAGCAACCAAGAATTGCAAAAAAAAAATCCATCAACAGAGGAGCAAAACAATAAGTAAAACAACCTTCTAACTTCCTTATCACACAAATACAGAAGCAACAAAGCCATACAAAAAACCCCAAAAAAAAAAAAAAAAAAAAATTACGGACCTTAAGACTGAGAACAAACACGCAGACAGAGAGATCAATGTGCAAAATGAGAGAAAACAAAACTAATAAGGCAAATAAATATCTCTGATGATTCCCCCAAAATCTGACCTAACACACTAAAAAATTCGAAAATAATCCACAACAAAAAGGCAGATCTAAGCTGATAGAAAAAAAAAAAATTTTAAAAGCACTTAGCTTTCGAAATCCAGGCATGCAGCGGTAGATCCGGATAATCCGTATCCCCACTTCTGAAATCCATGACTGATAGCTTTCCCCTTCGCTCTCTTTCCATTGTCATCTCTCTCTCTCTCTTTCTTCCGCTCTCTGTCAGAGTCTCCATCCCCCCGAAACCCTCATTGAAGGACAGCAAATGACACTGCACACAACAACCCTCGAAATCAGTCAAAACCGAGAAGAGAAAATCGACTTTCCCACTTATGAAATCCATTAGCCATACCTCTCCCCTGCGCTGTCTTCCCCTTGGCATCTCTATCTCTCTCTGTGTCTCTCTCTCTCTCTTTCTCTCTCTGTCTGTCTCTCTCTCTTTCTCTCTTTGTCTGTCTCTCTGTCTCTCTGTCTCTCCGTTTCTTCCGCTCTCTGTGAGAGCTTCATTTCCCCGAAACTATGAGGGAAGGACACGACAACCCCTTAATTCACTCAAAACCGAGAGGACAAAATTGCCCTTCCAACCTAGTCCACAAATAATAGGTTTCTTGTAAATAAGGTGAAATGAAGGGGTAATTCGTCCAAAACCGTCCGGACAAAATCACCCTTATCAGTTCAAATAATATCCTTCAAACCCAGCCCAATTCTCATGGTTTTTTTGTAAATAAGATGAAATCGAAGGGCAAACAATTGACTGTAGCCCAATGAACAGTCAATTCCTCCTTAGTTTTAGAATAGATAATGTCTCATAACCTTTGTGTTGCCACGCTGTGAATTCACTGAATTCTGCGGTATGAAGCGGACGAGAAACATAATTATAACCTAAAAAAATATATACTAGGAGTAAATCTACAAGGGCTAATTAGAAAGAAAACATTATTATATTGGAATACGACATAAGTTGATAAAAGGACCCAAGAGGAGTCCAGCATAGCATAAGATAGTTATATTTTCATAGTACACCAGTGAAATATAACATAATACAAAATATATTAATTGTCCTCGTCATTGCTGCTTAAAATCTCAACGGTAACATTCTGCATATTTCGTGAGCTCAACTGTGGGACAGACAGACCTCTAGGACGAATTTGTGCTTGATAAGTGCGTGGTTCTTCAATAATAACGACAGAATTGGTAGACTGTTCAGTTGTTGTTTCAGCAGAAACCAAATTGACAGGATATTCTTCTGTCCTACCTGGGTTTGCTCATGCTGGCAATACACGTCCTTGAGGTGCGCGTACGCATTCGTTATTAAAGGGTAATGCGTAGCCAAGGCGACCATCAACAAAAGTAGTAAGAATGTACTGATTATTAAAAGGACGAGGCATGCGCCCGGCATTAACAGGTTGTCGTGGACGTTGAACTGGAGGATTCATTGTGGAATTTTCTGTTGTAATGTTGGAAGCAATATACGAATGTGATGCTGGAGATTCAGTTCCAATTCTAACTCCACGACGTCGCCTGTCCGCCATTGTCAATGATGTAGAACTTGCTCAAATTCAAAAGAAACATATGTGTATGAAGCAACCTTCTTAATTTCCATATACAAATTAGTAAGGGAGTGTGTGGACGTTTTATAGTAGAATAAAGGCACAAATCCATAATTGTGCCAACATATTCTTTTGCTATAGAGTATTTATTATTTATTAATATTTACTGGACACAATTTCTAACATTTGTGTCAGAAAAGAGGAATTTATAATTATTAAAATATATTCTCTATTTGAAGACCCAATGAGAAGTAGAGTGATTTATTATTTATTAATATTTAGTGGACACAATTTCTATCATTAGTGTCATAAAAAGGAATCTACAATTATTAACTCATTTGTCTATCTGAAGACCAACTAACTTTTGCACAGAGACCAACCCTAAGGGCACAATTGTTGGTTATGTGTCACTGCAGGTAGGACTTTAAAACCAAAAACCATATCACCAAGTATAAAAAACAAACCTGCAAGAAGATAACAATCCAAAAAGCAATTCAAAAAGATACGAATCTAACAAACATTCATTGCACCTGGAAATGATCCTTTGTAAATCTAAAACATGCCACTTAGTACTATGGTGTAGTGGTATTCTTCTTTACTTGTAAGTGAGAGATCTGAGGTTCAGCTTTCGGGAAAAACAAATTTGAACAACATTATTGCTAACTTATTTTGAGGCTAAAATATTGCACGATAATAAACAGCTTCATACCATTATTTACCACAATTTTATAAATTTTAATTATTGGTGTGCTAGTGGAGGTAAAGACAAACGAGAGAGAACATATAGTGCCTTTGACAAATAATTTTTATAGACACAAAATATTTTTTGTGCCCATTTTCAGTAAAAAAGTTGTCATGTGATCCCACTCGACACGATTTCCGTGCCCATTACTGTTTTGTGTCTGCTTTTTTTAACATTGGGCACAATAGATGGTGCCCTCTATGGAATGGGAATTGTTTAAGCTTTTTGGTGGTCAAACTGACACAAAATTCTCAATTGTGCCCTTTATTTTGTACCCAAAGCTCATTTTTCTTGTAGTGAGATTAAATGATTCTAATTGTTAATTTTGTTTGATCAAGATGAGTTATTCAAAAATGGGAAAATACGTGCATTCCCACATGGGGAGCCAAGTATTATCCTCATGGCCATAGAACATATATATTTGAAATAATTTCTCACCTGTGTATCATAATAGAAAATACAAAATTTATCCCGATGCCCAAACCCTCCACTAACTAAGACTTACTTCTGGTGGCGAGAGTTGGTAGAACATCGATGATACAAACTTAGGCCCAAAAAGTACCGAGGTTTGAGGATGTCCGGTCTCATTGTCTTGTCTAAATATAGAATCCAAAAAGTTCAATTTACCCGCAACCTATATGTTGTTATTTTCAAAGGTATAATTAGTGAATTCTGACAACAGAAATAAGAGATATGATTAGTGAATATTAACAAGCGTTCAATCTTATCGAACATGACTTCTGAAAAAACAAATTATATACCTCATTAAGTACTGTCGAATAATTGAGATCAGGACCAGGCATCAAAGCGGTGACAAATACAGCGACATAAATTTTCTGAGGGAACCTCTCCATGGCAATAGATATGGAAGCCCCGCCAAAGCTATGGCCGACCAGAATAACCCTCTCCTTCGGTGGGAGAGACTCCATGAATTCAATCAAGGGCTCAACGTAGTCTGAGAAGGAATTGACTTGTTGTACCTGCTTAGGATTTATCCCAGATGCTGCCATGTCTAGAGTTGTAACATTGTGCCCTGTAGAGTTCAGTAGTGTTGCCAATTTATACCAACACCATGCTCCAACACCAGCTCCGTGAACTAGCACAAAGTGCCTTTTGCAATCTGACCTTTGGCTCGGTTGGTTTTGGTTGGGTGGAATTCGAGTTGGGGTGCAGATTGTTGCTAAGCAAAGAAATAAAAGGAAAGGAACCAAATCCTTCACTCTAATACATTTCATCTTTCAATTCGTAGGCCTCACCTGGTTACCGCTTTTTGACAAAAATAGAAGATGAAATAAAACTAGTTAGCGATGAATCATTTCAACTTTATAACATGTGTATTTTTTTGTATAAGGTTCAAAAACTAGTCAAAAAGAAAACTTAATGCATATGCACTCTAGTACAAGTTCGATCTTTTTCGATCTATTTTTCTTAACAATTAATAATTTAATCAACTAATTAATACTTAACATTAATCAACGCAGTCTCTTTCTTGTTTTCCAGTATAACTCCCATCTTGCAATAAAATACAGAGCAAATTAAAAAATTAAAGCGTTTGTTTTGTTATTTTATAGTTTTACAAGTTTGACGGGAAATATAGGATCACCTTTTGTCGTCGGTGCATATTTGTCAACGTGTGAGGAGAGCAAGGGTATATATCTTTATAGACTCCAATAGCGTGCAATGAAATTTAAAAAAAAAAAATGAAATAAATAAAATAAATTTAATTGGACCCCAGTATTTACTTTTTTTTTTTTCGGTTGGAAACTTATAAGATCAAAATTAAGTTAAAATAAAGGAAAACTAATATCATGAAAAAAGCATAAATCTATTATAAACAAAGGCCATCTAACGTCCATATCCTTCTTAATTAATCAAGAATGTAATTTTGTAACTTAAAGCAAGATCTTAAGAGAATTTGGAGATCAAATTATCAAAGGCTTTTTTTTTTGGTACATCGATATTTTTACAATAGGAGAGGCGGAGTTTGCCAAAGTCACACAATGGGCGTAATTTGGTGTCGAATTCGCCATCCACTAGATGAACATAAGACTAGAAGATGAACATACAATTCTTATACATCTGAACCTTTCTCTCCCTATCTCTGTCGTCTCTTCTCTCTCTCTCTCTCTCTCACCCACTTTATAATTTGGTTTACAACAATTTCCTTATGAAAATATTGACTTCGAAGAGCATATCTACAAGAGGAGATTATTTTAGTTCTCGACCATTATCTTCAAGGACTCGTAGGGGGGATACATGAAATATTTGGGTCTTTATAGAATTCAATGAAATATTTGAGTCTTTATAGAAATATTGTCTCAAATGAGAGAGTATTGTAAAAACTTAAATTTGCGGCTTATATAGTTTTATGTAATAATTTGATTAGATGCTAAATTTTTTGCTCGTTTTAATTAATCTAACTTTACCTTATTGTAAATTGTGTTTGTTAACATTTTAGTCAAGAAATATTTATATTCCAACACCATAAAAAGCTAATACAACTAAAATGGAGAAAGTGGTGTTTTATTGCAGTGGCAGAAAGTAATTATGGTAATGTATTATGGGTGGGTTCGATTGCCACCGATTCTCTTCCCTTCTAACAACTAACAATTTAATCTACTAACACTTTCGTTTGTCAAAAAAAAAATATCAATTTAAGAAAATTAATTGTTTTAATAATCAAGACTTTGATTTATTTTGTGAACATTTTAACAAAAAATTTAAACTCTTATTAAGGTCTAGAGATATTCATTTTCATTTATAAGTTAGAAGTCTGAGACAAAAACAAATAAAGTTTTTTTTTTTTTTTTTTTAACAGAAGAGGTAGCAAATTGCTGACCCTAAGGCTAACTCCAATGGTTGGGGTTAGAACTTTAATTTTTAGTTTTTGGCTCACAAAATTTAGGTTCTGACCTAGAAGCCGTTTTTCTTGTATTATTTTTTTTTGGTAACTTTTTAACCTAAAAATATTTAAATTTGGATAAATAATGAAAAATTACTAAACCTATCTCATTCCTACACAAATGCACCATATGAAAGAACATGAAAACCACACAACCTACTCCATTCTTAAACACATATACATAGGTGGATAGAAAAAAAATATATATATTGTTTGACAAAAGAAACATGATATCCAACTTGATAATTGGCGTAAAAAGTGAAAAGTGAAAAATCATGGATCCTACTCTTTTGATATGTACGATCTTACAAAACAACTAAACTGAATTAATTACTTGAATAAAACAAAAAAGAGCAAAGCCAGTGAAACAAAGAGACTTACGCAAAATGGGAGGAAGCGGAAGAGGAAGAGGAAGAGGAAAAGAACAAATAATAAAGGAAGAGCTCCTTCCATAGATTATCCAGTGTGTGTGCCTATTTGTAGGAAAAAACAAATAATAAAGTGTGGCGCACTCTACTGTATAAATATGAGCACGCATTGAATGCCTGATATGTGGACAAAGGGAGATACACGAGGTTGACTGTGTATTGAGCTGGACGTAGATGTGCCACCAAACTCAACAAAATAGGGATTTTAGGTCACGTGTTAACTACCTTTTTATGTGTCCTTGAAATTGTGTATCACAATTATCATGATAAGGGAACCGGAAAAGGGTAGGCATTGTTTAAAAATGAATGCATGGGATAATAGCTGGGATAATACTTTCTCCATTTGTGAATAACATATCTTGATCGTACAAATCTCATAATTAGAATCATTTAATTTTTTTAATCTTAATCTTCATTTGAAGATCATCCATGCATATAATTATTTCAGTCAAAGATCATTTGGTCGTTCAAATGTATATAATAAATTGACGGTGTAAGTATCAAGTAATATATTCATGATGTATTATCTTGATGGCTATTGAACATATATATTTGAAATAATTTCTCACCTGTCCTATGCCCTAACCGTCCACTAACTAAGACTAACTTCTGGTGGCAAGAGTTGGTAGAACATCGATGACATAAACTTAGGTCATCTCCAACAGAATGATCCAAGAGGCTAAAGGGTCGAAAATAGCTTGAAAATCGTCTCCAACCGAGGGTCAGGCCAAAAGGCTCGTAGGCCCCATTGGACAAAAAAGGGCCAAAGGGCCAACCAACTGGTCCAAAGGAACCAACCAGCCAGCCACGGGTGGAGCTGGATTTGAATTCCAATGGTAACTAGCTAACGTTAGCAAGCCATTATATTTGTTTTTTTTTTTTTTTTACAAATTTTTTTTTGAAAAAAATTAAGAATTCTATTTTTTTTTCCTATAACTTCCTAAGCCATTAAACAACATTAAATAACATTTAAGTAACATGAAAAAACATTAAACAATATTAACTAACATTAAACAACGCAAAAATTATACAACATAAAAAAAACATTTAACAACATGAAACTTAAACAACATTTTTAAAAACATTTAACAACATAACACTTAAACACCTACTCCATGCTTATTTTGGCCCAAAGATGTGCAACAAGATCCTGATGTAGGTACTTATTTGTGGCACGGGAACGTATCATCCTATAGCGGCTCATGTACTCATTTAAAAAGATATGACCAGTTCTTGGATTAAAAGCCAAATTAGGCCCATCATATATTTTTGCACGAGCACTTCTTGACCTATTTGGATACTCTTGGTCGTCATCAGACTCTCCATCAATATACCCATCTCGCTTATCCTCCATAATCATGTTGTGTAATATGATGTAAGACATCATGATGGAGTCCAAATTTTCTCGACTCCACCCTCTTGCTGATTCATTGATGATCTTCCACCGTGCTTGTAGAATACCGAAAGCTCTCCTGTAAGGTAAACCACTTTTTGGCGTCATTTGCAGGGTTTGGAATTGCTTGGATAAGCATCGCCCACTTTGGGTAGATGTTATCTACCAAGTAATACCCTATATTGTACTGATGGTAGTTGAGGTGATTTACCTATCGTTAGGTTATTGAAGAGGGTGAACAGCCAAGAACTGCAATGTCATTTTGGAATCCAAAGACTCCAAAGAAAGCATGCTAGATCCATGTGTCAATTACCGTTGGATTTGAATTTTTTTTTTTTTTTTTGCCAAATTTTTTTTCAAAAAAATATTACAAAATTCTCATTTTTTCTATAAATTTAAGTTATTGTAGTTTTTAAATTTAAATTGTAGTTTTTAAATATAAGTTGTAGCTTTTAAATATAAGTTTTAGCTTTTAAATTTAAGTTGTTGTAGTTTTTAAATTTAAATAATAAATTATGTTTGGCCCTATGACCCTTTGGCCTTGGGTTGGAGATGGTAAAAAATATGGTCATGCACTGTTCATTAAAATATTAATTTCTTGAAGGACCAGAGTGTTAAAACGAGTTATCTGACCCTCCTTCGGTTGGAGTGACCTTAAGCCCAAAAAGTACCAAGGTTTGAGGGTGTTTGGTCCCGTTGTCCCGTCTAAATATAGAATCCATAAAGTTCAATCTACTCTCAACCTATATATTATTATTTTCAAAGATATAATTACTGAATTCTGACAAAAGAAATAAGAGATATGAATAGTGAATATTAACATAGGTTCAATCTTATTGAGCATAACTGTTGAAAAAACAAATTATATACCTCATTAAGTACTGTCGAATAACTGAGATCAGGGCCAGACATCAAAGTGGTGACAAATACAGCAACATAAATTTTCTGAGGGAACCTCGCCATGGCAATAAATATGGAAGCCCTGCCAAAGCTATGGCCGACCAAAATAACCTTCTCCTACGGTGGGAGAGACTCCATTAATTCAATCAAGGGCTCAATGTAGTCTGAGGAGGAATTGACTTGTTGTACCTAGTTCGGATTTATCTCAGATGCTGTTAAGAGTTGTCCCACATCGGTGAGGGACAAAGTTTGCTATGTGCTTATATGGTCTTGGGCTACTACTCCCCGTATTGTCAATTGGTTTTATGGTGGAACCCCAATTTCATCATGGTATCAGAGTCAGAGGATGGGCCCGTACTACCACGTGAACGGGTGGGTCCCTTTGACCCCGCGTGAATGGGTGAGCCTTGACTTGGCTCCACGTAAGCTAAGAGATGCCATATGAATGGGTGGGTCCCTATTGGACCCGCGCAAATGGGTGAACCCCAGCTTGGCTACACATGGTTACCGATGTGTGGAACTTCACATGTGACCCATAAAATGGGGTCTCACATGCGGGGGAGTGTTAGAATTCCTTTGTCCCACATCGGCCAAAAAGCTTGAAAACAAGTTT